TTGCTGGACAGACGCATATATGCGCCCAGCCACCATCCAAAATATGATGTTATCACACGACCACAAGTTGACAATATTTCAAAAATCATCTGCCAAATCCGGCCGCCCTCCACATGGTGCCCCGCCCAATGCATGGCAGATAACATCTCCATGGATGCTATTTTGACCTACTGTTCATCAACGTCATCAGTAATTGATAGAGCAAGTCAGTGTTGGAGTACCACTGAGCCACACACTATTCACAATCCACCCTTAGACTTGCCCTCTAATGGCCCACTGTCAACAGTGTGGAGCACTTGCTGCTAGATGGGTGCTCCCACGTCCACTCAATACTGTCCACTCTCCACTCTAGCCAACTCCAGGTCTTCTGTGTGTATACTGCACAGTGACATCCTTGCCGCCCTGATTCACAGTATTAGTTAGGCGTTAGATATGCACAAGCAAACATATCATACTCCCAATCCTTGCATAGTGCAAATGCATGGATTGAGTGTGTCACAAACAGAATGGTGAGTTGGCGAGTTGTCGCTGGCAATACTGCCTCTCACCTTGCAGATTCCTCCTTTCGGCCATCCTCCAATTGCTTGAGGAGGTCGTCACCAGCGACCCTCAAACCTGCCGCAAATGGCTCTCCTAGCAAGCGGAGGAGTTTGTCCCACTCCTCAACCTTTGAACGCGTTGCCTCGGATGCTTCCACCCTTTTGTAGCCCTTAACCTTGGTGAAGCTGACCCCGGTGTCCAGTGGCGACAATATCCCTTTAGGGACAAGGTCGCATCCCAAACATCTGATCTGCTCATCGGTGAGGTGTGCACTCATGATTTCATGGGCCGTCGCTTCTGAAAGTGAACATAAACAAAAAATGCTTGGTTGTGTATTGATGGAACCCGTTCATCACAAAGTGATCTATTTCGATGCTAAGAGGGATATTTGCAAGAATCCTCCAATTTTTCTGTACTTTTACAAGACGAAACCTCATTATCCATGTGTTCGCTTCACGTGTGCTGATACAAACAACACATAATGTATGTAACATATATGTTTGAACAAAGGCATCTTGCACCAACCTTCGCCAGCAAGGAGGGCAAAGCAAGCAGCAGACATCTTGGTCATGTCATCGGTTGTTGTGATTCTAAACGCTGCTTGAAACCCATCTGGCGTCAGGGGAATGAAGAGTCTGTTATCCCGCTTTTTGGTGAGGTTGCATGCAGACACCATCGCAGGCAGTCCTGCGCACCCACATGCATTTTTGTCAGCATTGACATGCCCCGAGTTATCCATCAATCCCCAGCTAACTAGCCCCGACGAAATGTCCTAATTGTTGCTGCTTAGCACAATATCCGTGTTTGTTGTTACATTAATGTTCTCACCGATGACATGGGTCTTTATGTTGTTGCGAATGCCTTCACCATTTTTCCAAAGATTCTTGGCTTCATCATGCAGCTTAGTCCGTGCCCTTGCTGAGGTCGTTGAATATGTCAGCAGCCTGTAAACCAACGCTTGCATTGGCTGGAGTGGCAATGTCGATGTGAGTGCACCAGATGGGACCTCAGAAGAAGGGACCTGCATGGCAGTGCGTGCACACAAATTCCAACCATTTAGAATCTGCACCAAATACAATAGTTGCCAATATGCGAAGAAAATCTATTTTATATGTGGTGTACAAGGGGTCTCGTGTTACAAGCGCACCTGCGAGGGTGATGGAGGACGTGCAATGATGCTTGGCAAATTCCTCAATACTGCAGTTGCCAATTCTCTTGGCAAAAGGCTGCTCTCCGCCAACACCTACAATGTAAGCGAACATACTCTCAATATGGTGATGTAATAATAGTTTAGAATATTAATGGTTCAAGATGAGGGTTCTACTCACCCTCAGTGGCTCTATGGACTCTTGGATTAGAGCCCCTGCAGTGAGCATTCGAGCTAGCCAAAGGCGATGGGCACATTGGTATGTCTCCAATGAGACCCGAACCAAGTGCGGTGCCTCATCCCTGAGCGCCAACTCCATGAGATGCAGCACTAGGCTGTACGAATACACGTACACCTTGCGCTTCATCAAGTAGCCTGATCCAAAAAAATGGAATTTGTTAATATCAATTGAAGCACTGGATATTATTGGTATAGTTGCCTCTTGTGTGCAAATGAAGAAATCATTACGTACAAATCTAATTGTATGTGAGGCAAACAAGCAAAATACATTATGTGTGTGGCTGGTTACATGCAAATGAAAGAAATGGCAGCAAAAACACAATTCTTCTCTATTTCATGCTAAGAGGTGGAATTGCAACAATGGAGACAGCAGCAAATGAAATTGCTTACTGTGCATCTCGGTATCAGCAAGCCAGACGTTGTCATCAAAGAGCTTCGCGAAGCTCTCGTCATCTGTCTTGTCCGCCTCCATAGCAGCATCGTCGTAGAAGTAGACAGTCTGCGAATAGGGCAAATTTGTAGTCTTGGAATTGCATATAATGGCAATGCAGGCTCCATCCAGTAGCTGCTCTCAATAAAAATTGAAAGGGCTAATAAGGTCATTTAAAGACATGTGGCTTTTGCTATGCAAGGAAGGGAGAAATATGGTGTTTCATGATGAAGATACACAATACCCTCTTTGCCATTTTTATGCTATGGTGAGGGAAGGCATAGCTGTGCAAGAACATGATTTCACACCTTGTCGATATCAAGATGGTGCTGGTGGGCATGCATGAGGTTGCGGTGGTGGCTGGTCATGTTGAACAGCATGTACGTCGTCTGGCACATGATCCGGCATGTAGAGATATCACAGTATCTTTGCGCTGAACGCATCCCTGCAGCATTCCTCACGCCCTCGTTGTACGTCATCTACAATGCATACAAACACCGTTGCCACAATGAATTTAGCATTTGTGTTGCCATTGCATTGCAATATAACTTGCATAATGATTGATGTTGTTGCCTTGGCCATGGTACACAATCATGTTATTCAGGATATGTTGTCCATTATCATGTGAGTCAATGTGGATTTCTCACAATACTGCACTCCCACTCACGTTCTTGCTTGAGGCATCCAGCAAAAGGGCATCTTGTGCGTCTCTTGGTTCCCCGTGGGTGGCTGCCATTTCTCGCCTTACCTCAAGCTGAATGCACAAAAAAGAAAAACATTTAGCACGAAATTGCTTCCAGCTTGCACATCGCATTGCAACACAGTCAACCCCACCTGCAACTCTGAAAATCCTGGCTTCTTCTCCTCGATATGTACTGTTTGGTCCAGGCTGCTGCTGTATATGGCACGGGACTCCTTTTGCAGATACCCCTGCACAGCTCCCAAGACTGTGAGGTGCTTGCTCCAGTCGGCATCATTCCGAAACCATGGGAACCGGCATTCGTGGTCCTCCACCATGGCCACTAAGTCCCCTACAACACAATTTTCTTCATTCCGTAAGTATAGATGTGGGGTATGAAGATGTTACAAGCTTCCAATTCTTGAACTCGCTAGCATTCGCGTGAAAAGCGCTATTAATACTCTACTAGTGACAACTCCCGTGTGTGGCATGTATGCGAAAGGTGTCGATGGCTATGATACACCATGGACATAAACCCTCACCTTAAGAAACATTCACATACCCCTCGCAAATGCACGGACTCTACGATGCTTCTTGCATGCATTGGCAGTGACAATAAACTATATTTTCCTATGTCGCTTGTGTAAAAACATCCAATTTTCATATTTTTGCATTGTGCGCACCTGCAGTCTGGTATTCCCGCTGTCTGTAGTGCAGTCCAAACCGAAACAACACCCCGTCTTTCACAGCCTCTCCCCGTCGGAACAACGCTGCAACGCCGTCTGGTTGTATTCCGCCAGTTATGACGACATATGTAGCAGGCACGTCTTGTTCCCCGGCCTCGGATTTGAATTCCGCGGTGTTCTTTATCGTTTTCTTCTCCAACGGACCTCCACTGCTCAGCTGCGATCATTAGTTGTTGGTTAGTTCATGTTTGCAACCCATTCTATTTTGTGCATGCACTAAAATAGCATGAACAAGGCATGGGAGCAATGAAGGCTACATCAGGCACTTGCAACTAGTGTAGGGGATGCCAGGCGTGTGTTAATGAAGTTCAACTGCAAGTTGCTGATGAGCGCACATGCACTATTATAGGAGACATATTCATCGACTGCTCTTATTACACAACCTACCACAAGAGGTACAAAAGGTGCAGAAACTATAAAAGGGATCTTTCAATGTGACTTGTGGACTTGGTCCTATTAACACATGTACAGGATAGGTTCACCGACCTCCGATGTTGAACACCTTGGTGCAAGAGATGAGGATTTTGATAAACTTAAGGCATGAATTGTTCAACTGGACATATGCACTGTTGTAGGTAATGGAATCACTGATAGTGTCAAACAAAGAACCACTTACCTTCAACAACATCGACCGGTCGGCAGCGCCCAAGCAGCCATTATGGAGAATATTCTCCAAATATCCGTAGATCTCGTCACGGGCGACGAGCACGGTGTAGTCCAGTTTTCTCGCCCTATCTTTGAACTCGTTATGCATCGCGTGGAGATTATCCTACCCATTCGTTGTCAATGTCAGTATTTTACAAGTTTTGAGTGAATCGCTGCATGCATACTTTGTCCACTCCTCCTGTAAAGGAAACCTCATTCATCTATGACCCAATCTACCTTTCAATCATTTTCTTCTCTCTTTACCATTATGTGCAAAAGGCAGGGGCATGTATTCTAGAGGGGGCATGGAGTTCCGATCGATTTAGTTCATATGCACAAGTGTGGTTACGTTTTTCATAGCTACTGCATGGCATGCGAATGACAACTCTGCCCATCAACATCCACCACTCCTCACTAATCTCATGCTCTCTTAAGATGAATAAAAAGAGACTTATTTATGCAAGTGTTAAACATTCCTTGGATTGCAATATCGTGCTCACCGTGTCGCTGTTTGGTTTGTATGATCCAGGTACCAATGTCTTCAACTGATTGGCTGCTGCTTCCAACGCTTCCATGGCGGTCTTCCTGGCTTCATCGCTGAATGGCACATTGCTTGTGGTTGCATCGCTGGCGCTGGCTTCACATCGTAGAGTAACATCTGCTCTGTGCCTCTTCCTTGTTCTTTCCGCCTCCTCCTCCACGAGCTTCGCATACGAAAGACATAATGTTCCCAAAGCAAATGAGCATAGTCTAGAGGCATTGAACTACAAAATAGGGATTTGGGCTGGTTTGCAAGTGCTTTGGTTCAATTGTAAGATAGTTTGCGTGGCTTACAAAGTACTCTATAGATTCATCAATAATGGAAGGAAGCTGCTTGCACTATTTAGGAAGAATCATTTGGGGTTTCCTTGAGATATTCCACTGTTGTGGGATCTGCATGTATTGTTATGGGTTCTTTCGGTATGTTCACCTAATGTGAAAATTGTGTGAAGCACAGAGACATGGAGGGCAAGTTGCGTGTCAAGGTGTATTGGGCCACATGGGATAGCTTGGCGTGTTGTAAACTTTGTGACCATCCCATCCAACTTGTACCACATTGTGCTAGTGCAAACCTTTATCTCCTACTTAGCGCATTGCAGCAAAGCAGTGGCCTAAGGACATCTTGAGGACAAACAAGGGCTGAACGCAATAGAGTCCTTTGCAAACCTCACAACACCATCAGACCAAGATCTATATGTTTATCTTCATGATTGGATTCTGATGCAAATGCGTTGCATTTTCGGGTCCAAACTGTACTACCCAACCCCGTCCACATGCATTGTTCGGTCACAATCCTAAATGCAACGTCCATTTATGTCTTCTGTCATATCGCTCTTTTGGAGGCAGAACCACACCTTTTCCTTCTTCCGCTTGACATCCTCATAGCCCCGCATGTAACCCTTGCCCTGCAAATCCTGTGGACGACGTCGAAAGCGTTCAGGTGCTGACGTTATAAAATAAGAGTGCATTCGTGTATATCTTTGTACTCGTGCCTTCATAAACGTTTGTGAAAATGGGAGGGTGGGCATGCACAGCTGAAGTCATTGGGGTAAGTGTGGCCATACGTGTATTTTGCGGGGAATGCCCCACACTCCTCAATACCATTGTTTGTTGGAGAAATTGTGTATGTTGTTATGCCATCCTTCACTGGAAGGCACTTAGCATTAGGCCCAATGCATTATAAGGGTGGCTGGGTGTCGCCAAGCCACACTATAGTACAAACCAATACAGCAATGGAGTGACAACCGCACTCATCTTGCACCTTTTATGCTATGTGGTGTGGCACTCATTATCATTTGTTAAAGGCATTTCACTTCAGTAAGTGTGTCTTGCCAATTTTACTTCGTATTTTGAATACGTGAATATTTCTTTTTGCGACAATGGCCATGACTAAACAGTGGCTTGGGAAGCCAAGCACTCCCTGAATTGGCTGCCCGGCGCTCTCAGCCCAGCGAGGGCCGTATTGCACGTCCATGATGGTCCTTGTGTCAGCGCCCCAAAGTGCGCAGGCAGAAAGTTGTGTTGTGCCCATTCACAACTCAGTTTGCGCAGGGTGCACACACACAATGGCGGAGGCGCCAACATTGCTAGCAGGAATGCCACGTTAATGGGTCAAAAGCGCTCAGCGCCAGCCCTCGTCACTTGATGGGCGATGAAGGGGCCAGCAACCAATGCCATGACTCCCACCGCGTCTCGAAACTAGTGTCCCTAGTCAGAGTGCACGAAGCATCGGCCAGACAGCTGCAAGTCACACGTTTGGCAACGGCACTATTGCAAAAACTAACAACACCACCACTACTGCAAAAGGAACAGTCCAGGCGTTGTCGCAGAAATGAACAGCGTTGTGGCAATAACGAGCAACACTGCCGCGAAAAACATGTCGCAAAAAATCGCGACCTTCTGAATATGTTGTAAATGTGGAGCAGCACTTGACAACACCAACACACATAGGTAATCATTCTGACGAGGGTCTGGTAACGTTTACTGAATCGCCAGTACCCAAGATGTCGAAAGCGAACAAGATCATTCCCTCATCCAACATTTGTTTGTCCACTAACATGTCGACACATCTGGTGAGACCTATACCACTAAGAATTATGTCATTTGCTGAGTGGCTGGACCGTAGACCGCAAATCACGGATTAGCATTGAATCCCAATTACCGAAGGAATCAACACGACGGTCCCTATTTGTTGGTGGAACATAATTACGTTAACACTGGCAGCTGAACAGCCAGCAACAGAGGCAGAGCAAAAGGCCGAGTCGTACAAATCATATGGTATGATTGGCTTGTGTCGTCAGCCGAACTGCAACTCGATGTCTACAGGAGTTGAATGAAGGCTGTTGGGCACTACCAGGGATAAGGATAATTGCCATCCAGGAACAGAGCATGAAAGTTGTGCAAAAGTGTTGCAAAGGACTGCCGTTCATTTCACTGTGTAGGGCACCTTTCCATGTTAAGCATAGACAGAATTGGTGAAACTATGCGTAAGCAAGACAAACATATTGACGCCTGAAGACGTCGACGCGCTTGAGCGCCAAGTTGGGGCAAATGGTGACAGATTCAAATTCAGAATGTGACTCCCCGCAATGCTTGCAATTTTGTGACGCCTGAGGTGCACCTACACTATCAGAGAGGGTCATGTTTGTGATGCCACCTGCGGCGGCATTTGACGCTATTTGATGCTATCACACACATTTTTCCGCCTCTAAATCACTGTGATTGCGCCTTTTTGCGTCAAACTGGCATCCCAGTTGTCATCGCGAAGATGCCGTTTTCTACTGGTGCTGAAAGTAGCTGATCAATATTACACTAGCAAATATTTGGTAAAACTATTTGAAGTGCATGCAAAAATACCATCATTGATGGACTTAGATAAAAGGAGACAAGCTGTAATGGTGTATTAGGTATATTAACACAGCGAATTAATTAGGCTTGGTTTTTACATTTACGTTTACTTTTTTACTTTAACGTTTTTAAACATAAGAACGTAAATTTGCAAAAGAGCCCATTTTCGTTGCTGTTTTGCGTTTCTACGGCTCCCTGGGACGCCCAGATTACACGATGGAAGTTGCGTACAATGATCAGTCCTCCGCCATATCCAGCAATCACAACACAATGTCCACCTCGCCCATGACAAGGGCGATGATGGTGTTCAACAGAAACTCATTTTCTGCCCCTTCCAAGACGTCTGGCTGCCACTCTCTGGACTCTGTAAGTCTGAATGCACTGTCCTTACGTACACTGGGCAGTTTTTACCTTGTATTTACGTATTTTTACACATTTTCACGCGTACAAATGTAAAAACGATCAGTTTTTACGGCGTAAAGACCAAGCCAGGTATTAGTAATGGCATAATATGGCACAGTATGTTAGTTACATTTGTCAATGATAAATTACTGTAAGAGAACACATATTGCATGCAATGAATGCAATGCTCAAAGTTCGCATTGTGTGGCTACGGAATCAGGAGTGACTGCGTTTGGAATGGCAGATTGATTGCACGAACCACCATGCCATCAACACACTGTCCCAAAGCTGTGTTGCTGCAAAACAGCATACAAATTGTGCAGCGCAAAATTCTGAAAGAAGCTTGGAATGCACTTAAGACATCTGTTGCACATCAAGCAGATCTTCCTTGCCCCAAACACTCAAGCCACTCGCACCAGTTCAGAATGTCCGTTAGCTGCATTGTCGTGGGCACAGGCTGGCTGCTCATTTGTGTATGGAGGTCCATGAGGATTGCCATCAATACCTTGTGTCGGGTGGCTGCTCCGCTGCTACTGTAAAGTACTGACGGGATACCCAACTGCCTAGCGAAACAGCGTCAATTACCTGGACCATGAGGACCACAGCCCTCTGGATGTTGTCGAACGTCTCCTTGATCAGGCTCTTGGTCGCGCCTGGTTGGGAGACGTCCAGCTCCCAAAGCAGGCCCCTGGCCTCTGCCTTCGATTCGGGTTGCGGCTTAAACGCAGCCCGGGGGCCCACCGCGAGCGAGGCCAGACTGAGGAGATATGGGGCCGCGGCTGGCCACTTCGTGCCGAAGGCTGCAGCCAGACCCGCGAAGAGCTTGCCCACAACCGCTCCATAATAGAACCCATGGACGCCACCATCCGTGTCTTCGAATGTCGATGGATCGCGCAGGGCGTATATGATGGCCGGGTGAGCTGCGGTCGTATCCAGCGGATCGATCCTTCGGTGTGCCATGTTGCTCCCGTCGCAGGGAACGGGACAACTGCGCACGGGCGCTGTGAGTGGATTCCAGCCTGGCCCGGCCCCCCTTTTGCAGGGTGCACACGGCAAGTGTTTGGACCCTTGGAAAACGGGCGCGGGGCCACTCCACAGCTTGCAAAACGGGCGCCGGGCCTGCTATGCAATATGTACAAGCACGGGCTCTTGCCCCTTTTCCAGGGTGCAGTCGCCGACTGTTTCGACCGTTTTGAAAACGGGCACGGGGCCCGTCCACGGCTTGCAGAACAGGCGCCGGGCCTGTTGTGCAATGTTTACAAGCACAGGCTCTTGCCCCTTCTGCAGGGTGCAGTCGCCGAGTGTTGGAGCCGTTTGGAAAACGGGCGCGGGGCCTGTTCTGCAACCTGTACACGCAGAGGTTCTTGGCCCTTTTGCAGGGTGCAGACGCCGAGTGCTTGCACCGTGTGGAAAACGGGCGCGGGGCCTCTCCACAGCCCCTTTTTCGCATAAGGTACAGGCCGAGTTGTGCACCGCTTGGACAACAAGCAAAGGCATGTTGGCAGCGTCGTGACGACGGCACATATCGCAACCGCTGTCCAGACTCCATAAGAACTGTTGGGTCAGTCCCAAATGGACAACGCAGGAGAAGACACAACGGAGGGCAACCGCAACAAGAAGCCCACCGGCATCGTAAGCATGCGTGGTGATGGGGATGTGCTCGATCGACAGATCGATCCACGTGGGGATCGTTCAATGGTGTGCGCCTGTGCACGGCCTTGTCGTGTGCTCCTGTGCCTTCGCTTTGCGGCAACCCGTGGTCGTATTCCTTGCCTGCTATGCGCGTGCCTGGGTTGTGAGATCGCTCCAAGGCGCGGACAACAGGGGGCTGACCGACTGACTGACGGACGGTGCCTGGGGCGTCTTCCGGGATATGAAATAATGCTGAACTGCATTCAGCGCTGCAGCGGCACTTGAAGTACTGGGGAACATAGCGACCCGTCTAGGTTTAGCGACACCTAAACCAGCATGTCGGGGGGGGGGGGTCCTGTATTGTGATGCAATAACATGTACGTACTTGAAGTGTGTTGGTAGTGGTTGCTGCCGATGGCTGTGTGGTGGGATGTGCCATTGCAACCGTCAAACTATTTTGAAACTTTTGATGCACATATTCCTCGGTTGGCATCAACACGAAAACTATACTTCTTTGCTGAATCAATGTCTTTGTCAGACAAGGAGCTCCATGCTCATAGCAGAAATGCCAGCAGTGATATGTGGTTTGTACATTGCACTATCACCAAGTGTCATGAATGTTGAAGGATCTCCTGCGCCAAGCAAAGAAAGCAGGGCTGGCGGTGGTGGATATCGTCACACTGTTGGCTACATACTTCGAGACTACCCTGCAATACAGAGGCTGGCACAGCATACGAACACGGGGTAATGTAGACATCGATCCCCGGAATCCAGATCTTTACGAAGTTCTCAGAAGGACCTTCCAGGACGTTGCACCCCAAGATTCCACACTAAGAAGGCTTACACGATATGAAATCGAACTACTGGTTTTGGGCATGGAGAACAAACATGGTGTCAACTGGGCAGAGATACCAAACATCCGGAATAAGGTGTCAGCATCCCTGCACAAAAACAGTCTGGCCTTTGGAGTCGCGCCCCCAGCGTACAACTGCCCGAAGTGCGACCAGGCAAGTCCATTCCCACACTCGATGCATCTGAAATCCCGCTATTGCTGCAGAGATGCCCTTGCTTCGCAAACAACTGTGCCATTGTAGCGATGGAGTGTGCCCTCCCCATCATCGAATGCGCATCAGTTTTAAATATCTTGCCTACGAATCGGAATGTGGTGTGTTGTGCAGAAGTTGGGTTCACCGGAGAGGGCAAAAGGACACCAGCCTGTGTTCTACATTCCTGGTGTGACCAGCGGAAAGGGGATTGCTTTCACAAGAGAATGTACCCGCTGCAATCTCATTTTCGACATGAATGGATACGTTTCCGGGGAGTCTCCGAAGGAGTGGACGTCGCCACATCCTCCACATGTCGAGACAACTTGGACGAAGGTGTGTTGTACTTAAGATTGAATATGAATATCCCTCGGGGCAGATTGCATCACATTGTCCACAAATGAATCCAACGAACGAACAAGCACGTATACCATAAGACAAACTGCTTCGGTCGCAGTCAGCCATGGCGTACTGTCCGTGAAACACGGGGAACCAGTAACCCCCCAGCCCGCCAGATCACCAATCTACAGCAGCCCAACACCAGAAAGTAATGCCACCTGCTACCCCTTGCAGTCTTCCCTCCGTCTCCCACAGGGACCTGACGCTGATTGTCTCACGAAGCGGTGCATTCAACATCAACCGCTGCTGCTCCATGGCAAAGTTGGCAATTGCTTCGTTGGAATGTAATGCCAAGTTGCAGGTTCCAATACAAGCCTTCTGCATCCAGTATAGCTGGAGTCTGCGAACAGCACCAGCTGGATGTTTGTTTATCATGGCACACATTGGCTCCTTTTACCTTCTTGTATGTGGGATGCTCGTCATCATCACCCATATAAACCGATTCCTTTGTACTTACAGGTTTCAACGGACACCTTTGTGCACAACAGCATTGTCCCCATCCACCGCATCCTCTTCAACACAGTGCAAGCCGGATTCAGCGCAGCATCAAGGGCAATGAGGGAATTGGAACTGGTGCTGTGCAATAATCGAGCTACCGGTGAGCATCTAACTGTCCATGCACCAGTGATGGCATTGACGAAACCCCATGGGTATAGATTTGGAAAGTCTCGGGACCTTGAAATACACCTGGAGGCACACACACACACACACAGCCAAACACTTACTGAGTGACTGCCACCTTCAGCATTTCGGCCTAATTTTCCACTGCTGTGTGCAATGCAAGGCTCCTACCAGGCGGACACCGAAGTGCTGGGCGCACGATGCCAACTATCCAGAAAAGGCTACCAGGCAGCTTTCCTGAAGAGGAGTGTCTTGGCTGAGTTCGTTCAGCACTTCAAACATGCCATGCACAACATAAACTTGAACATGTCGCTGCCGGACTTAATGGCACAAGTCACAGACATCAAGCGTGTTCGATTGCTGGGCAGGTCCCATTTGCACTGTAGGGAAGGTACCAATCATACGCATTGTGGACGAGCATTCATGATCGATGGAGGGACTGCGCTATGGCGGAGTCGCTGTTCCTGTCTGAATGACAATAGAGCAGCTGTTGATGACATCCTGTCGGCTCCTGGTCGATCCAAATTAGAGGCGCTCAGCAAGTATTGTCTACGTCAACCAAACCAGAAGGACCCGAAGAGGAGATGCACTGTAAGCAACCACCACCCAGCGGACAAGCAGTTGACAATCACGAGTGACACAGTTCTTATAATTCTTGACTTGAATCGTTATTTTCCACTCAGCGAGGACCATTGGGCATAATGACAAAGATGTGGTAATTGCCTTTTGTCGATGCATCCCACACCCAGTTTCGGGACAACATTCTTTCCGGCCCTTAAATGCCATCTTCGGCCCCAACTAGTTCCTAGCCAGCTGCGCTCGTTTCCTGACATCCCCACCCCATAGTTGCTGGCACCCTGTGGCCACCACCCATAGTAGCAGAGCTGCTGGTTGCACCTTGGGGTGCCAACTCAATGGCCACATTTTCAGCATCCTTGTGAGCAAGCAGTAAGCTGACAGAACTCTTACCGTACAGGAATGCATGCTCAAGCAACGCCCCACAGCAGCGGAACAAGGAGATGACAGTGCCGCCCTCACAGCACCTCCTCTTAACCATGAAGGACACCCTGCACACACAGCGACGAGAGATGAAGAGGCAACACAAGAGACTTCACTTACTACACTGACACGGAGGCATGCATGGCTCCGCAGCACGGATGGACAACCGGGCATGGTGGCGGACATGTGCCCACTTCGAGACAGCATACCACCGTGCAACACACCCTACAGGAGGATACAGCCTCATCGACAATGCAAAAAGCAACAGGCAACATGTCCAAGCACTGGCGTAAGCAGCAGTAGGGAAACCACAGGGGTTTACTTGGGCCAAGGATTCTGGGAGGTCGAGGACATCTTGTACTGCTGGAACAACGACGATTCTCCACTGGTAGGGTTGACATACTACGAACAGAAGGGCTTCCCATGCCACCACTGTCTGATGGCCTCAATTCTCCTCAATTACTTGAGTTCAATCGATTCACTCAAGTCATTTCTGTTCCCTTTGAGTTCAGCTACTCCGCCCTTGGAGGGGTTTCTGCATGCAACACATCACACTGGTTGACCATGCATGCCCTCATCAAATATGGCCAGTTCTAACCCACCCAATAAACTGCGCAAATGCAGAGCGACAAGAGGGAGTATGCAGTGAAATGGAAGAACTATGATGGCATAACTGTGGAGCCCCACCAAAACCTCAATGAACAAGCGCTTCAATACTTCCATCAATACCGGAATGCTGCCGCCAAGGCCACACTCTCAGAGGTGGGTACTTTCAATATGGATATGCCATGGTTGCTGACTATGATGAGTATGTGGCAGTCATCCCTGGGTTGGCGTGTGGACCTTTCAAACTAAATTGCATCATGCACTGGACAGATAAGTGAAGACCACCTGGACAAGGAGCCATATAAGTTGTTGCACAACAACAATGACAACTTCACAGTTGAAGTGGACAACACGGCCCTTGGGGATGGCGTTGAGGACATCGATCTCCCTCAGTTGACGCAAGACATGGCCGATGGGTTGAGGAAAGAGCTGCAGAAAACGAAACCAAACTGCCAGGGGAAATGCACAAAAACCTTTTTGAGATGGGCAAACAGGACAGGGGGTGTATTGTACATGTTCTGCATCTGTGGATTCCCCTTTCCCCCCATCGAGCTTCCTGATGGAGAATCCTTCACAATGGTAAGCACATTGCCACACACCATATATTCACCAACATTTCAGAAGCCATTCATGCCATTGGGAACATGTTCTCGCAGCCCATGTTTCAGGCCTGTGCAAACTGTTGTTTCAGCCCATTGGTTGTTTGTGGGCTTGCATGGCCGATATTAATCCAACCATCATGACATAGCCCCTAATCTCCACACCCCACACACCTCGCACATCATAGTCAGGAGTAATAATTTTACATGACCTCAACTTTTTTCGCCTTCTCACTATTGTTTGTCATTCTTCAGATATGAAAATAACCTCAGCTGTGTACTTGAAATTCACAGGTTCTTCTCGCCCTTCTGCACTGGTTCGAGGGCGTTGGCATTGGTGTTGGCCAGCGGACAACACAAGAGGAGCAGCAGCTGTACATGGGTTACGATGCGATGTGCATCTTGGTACGTCTGGCAACCAATGTGCAAAAGAAGCTGATGAAGAAGGGAATAGACATCCCGGTCCTGAAAGAATTCCTATCCACGGCTGTCACCAAATTCGGTAAGCTATTTGCACAGAACTGCACGATTCGATTGTACCTACAAGTTGTCCTTGGTGGCAAGATGTGGGACTAACAGGAATGTGTGTATTGCAGTGGATCCCTTTCACATGAAGGGGCACAAGGGGGCGTTCTGCTTTGCTCATTGCAACCCTGAATCTCATAGTGAGATCAGGGGGAAGAAACTCAACTTTAACATCGCAGAACAACAAAACAGGATCTACAATGGGTATGCCACTGCTTTCCGGTAAGCACAATAGTCTACACACAATACCCCTTTAAAACTAGTGCTAATTGTGCCTGCCCATTCTCGAATGACATATAAAACTCTGAAGCTCGTGCCCTCATGGGACAGTTATGTACCACAAACAAAAAATGACGAATGTTGTGCATGCAGTGAATGGTGTTGGTTCTTGTCTGGCAGGAGCTGCAGCCCAACAGTCTTCACATACCTCCTATTGGAGTTATGCGGAACCAAGCAGGAAGAGTACACCGGCACTTGGGACTCGATGTCCAAGATCCAAGTCCGCTCTCACGTGGCGATGAGGAAAGGGCGTGAAGCAAAACGCGCAAGGCAGGACCCCGAGGGCATTGAGGATAGAGGGCCAAAGTAGAGACAGACTACGAATAAGATTGTGAATAGGTCTGGTACAAGTAAGAACCCGCCGACCGCCTACGCGGTTGCACGATTCTGGGGAATAGCCCATCGGGCGGGTGGAGGGCGATCCATGGGACCCCAGTGCACAACAAACGTAATGTTGGGTCGTGCAGCAGGTTTGCAGTTGGGCAGTACTGCGGTGTGGTGCACGCAATTTTTAGCAAAAGTATGTACTCAGCGGCAAGGGCAGGTGATGTGCGCACACAACATCTCTGCAAGGCAGCATTCTGCTGCCACAAGGGGCCATAGCTCAGGAACACAGAACCACAGGAGAGCACAGCCATGGCCCTTGGTGCCAGAAAGTCTCCCACTGTGGCAACCGTATTGTGCGCACATAGTATGTTGAGTGAAGTGTTACACTCCGAGTGCGTGTTACAGTGCTTGCGCAATAGCCGCAGAGGTTGCGGTGATGGATGGGCGACGTGTGCGCAATATTCCCGGGCTTGACTGATCGTCACACCCCCCGGCTCAATTCACAACTGCTGTGCATGCAGCGCACATCTGCCACACGACCCCGGTCTTGATGGCGATGCAAAGCCATTGAACACAGGTGAGGCTTCAGCATCGCACCGCATTCGGCCTTGCCGCTCGCTGTCTCACAGTCTGGCGTGTGCGTTCGTGTCACAATGCCACTACGCAAGCATCGTCTCGTTGTCCAATCGTGATGCGATGAAACGGGCGCTCTGTCCAATCATTCACTGGTGTGGTTACTATGTGCTGCGCGCGTGACAGCAACAACATGCTGCAGAGTGACATACGGCTGACCTTGCGCAAATTTTCAGAACTGCAGGTCTTGTCTTGTGCTCGGCTGTACTCTACAAGTCCCCAACCCCTGCATCTCTTCCTGCCTGCTTGTGCGGCTGGCGGTGCATGTGCTTGTAGTGTGCCTGTGCAGACACCAACTGGAGTCATCAAAGCATTGGATTCAGCAACAATGCAGCCAAGCACTGGACTCCACTCTACAGCATTCATAGCATCACAATACACTTTCCGTACGCCTGTGTGCAGTGGAAAATACGAGTGCATTGGCTGAATACACATCTGGGTGTTGTTGACAGCCAGCAATTAGACAAGAGCTGCACATTGCCAACATTGGATGCAGTAACTGGGTATGCAGCTAGAAGCACAATTCGTCAGCATTCAGTGGCTTGGTGCAACAACAGCTGTGCAGCGCATATGCGTACATGCATTGGACAACCACAAGCATTTGCAGACAGTTTGTCCCATGCCTACAGTGTAGGACTCCCAATTGGTGCCAGGCATGCCAGTACTGCCTGACATAGCTGAGCATCGACAGCACCTAAGGATGCGCATGGAGCTCCACGCAGCCTGTTAAAAAGAGCATTGTGCACATTCGCAAAGCCAACCGCCAAGACAACACCGCCTGCTCCGCATGCCCACCCACGAAGTTGTGTGCGGAGGTGGATCACTGGTGCCACCCAGCAAACCACTGCCAGGATCAGCACAGGTGGCGAATCAAGCAGTCGATTCAGTAGGGATGCATCAACTGCAATGGCTGGCGACCTCAAATGGCACCGTGCAAAACTTACCACTGAACTTACACCAGATTCTGCATAGGTGTGGTAACTGTCCGCCAGCGAACTTGTCTAATGGATAACTAAACCAAAATTCTGTTCACCCATGTTCACCCAAACCGATCCCGGGGCAGCGGGCCCCCCGCTGGGATGGGCCTTGGGCAGTGGGGCACGCTTGTGTGGGTTGCTCTCACACGCATGACAGATTCTAATGCATGGTAAGAAGGTGGCCAGTGTTTTTAAAGAAATAGGGGCTGTGCAGATAATTCCAATTGCGTACCCACAACTTCCATCATCATAGGGAACGAGCGGCAGTTGGCAAGCACTCCCCCCAAACCCAAATCCATTCATGCTCATGGGTATTTTCCAAAGCAATTGGTCTCACAACGAAATAAGCTCGTTAGTGTACTCAGCACTTCCAGCATCAAGACAAAGGGCCAGCAGCTGACAGATTGTGATGCATGGTAGGAAGGTGGCCATTTAAGGAATGATGGTGAAACAGAGAATCCAGTATCATGGTACAGGGGCAGCAGTTCACACGCATTCCACTAAACCTGAAACTGCTGTGCTCAGCAATACCAACGTCACAGTGAGCAGCTAGGTAGTCGATGAACATTTCCCCAGCCCCCAAACCACCCATACACAAGTTTCTTCTTGAGTGAAGTGGCTGCCAGGGATTTATTACCTTGTGCAGTTAGCACTTCCAGCATCAGGGTCATTCCAGCCATGTGTTGCTCCCCGCACGACGCCACACCCTCCACCCACTTTCGTGTCCCCTCACCGGCATTGCAGGGATGCAGCTCCATGTGGTGGGCTATGATCCAAAGCAATTTAAACTGAAATGTTGTTTGATAGGATCCAGTCACACGCGTAGACCCAACTCGTGGAAGGATAACTCGTTGAATGCAAGACGCCGTGAACGCCGAGCTTGACTTCAGCATAGGGCTACTGAATAGGTACAGCAGCTGTGCGCTCTTGTGTCAATCGCATGGCAGAATTGTACACCGTTGGGGCACCACCAAGCCAAGTTTCGCGGTAACTGGCAAAGTCGCCCGAGTTACAACAGCAAATGATTGCACCCAGGAAGCGCTGACTCGACCTCGCTGAAAGAAGGTGTGATTCTCTGTTTTGAATTATTACCAAGGACTGAAGCAAGGGTGCGCTCCCTAAAGCCACAGTACTGCAACCTTCACAGTCGAGTTGCAATCTCCATGGGCTGCCACACGAGTAAGCGAGACACAGGTACAGGCTCTCACCACCCCACCTCCGCCATTCCCTCCCGCGGTGTCTGCCCGCCCACCTGGCTTCGTGCCGGGTACCTATCCACGGCGTTGCTGCCTCCATGCGATCGTGCCTTCCGACAGCCCAAGGGGTTGGCACTCGGACATGCGCGGGCCGCCGCGACTCAACCGGCGTGTCCGCCAAGCCCATGCGAGGTCCAAGGATCCATCACCGGCCGCCGTTCTTGCCTTCCGACCACGCTCACCGGCCGTCCCGTCGCGCCGGGGGGGGCTCGGCGGACAGCCCAGCCGGCACAATCGTTGGCGCCGTAACTCAGGACCACCCCCAACCTGGGGGGGAGACGGGGTGCTGACGTGGACCGCCGATCCGCCGAACCGCCGGACCGCCGCGGCCTAAGAGGAGGGGGGGTGCCTAGGGGGGAGGGGCGGGGTGCTGACGTGGACCGCCGATCCGCCCATCCGCCGAACCGCCGAGGGCCGGGGGGGAAGGGGGAGGGGGTGCTGACGTGGACCGCCGATCCGCCGGACCGCCGAGCCGCCGAGGCCTAATTGGGGTGGGGGTGGGGGCCCTAGGGGTCGGGGCAGGGGCTGACGTGGACCGCCGATCCGCCGAACCGCCGAGCCGCCGAGGGCCGGGGGGGAAGGGGGAGGGGGTGCTGACGTGGACCGCCGAGCCGCGGAGGCCTAAGGGAGGGGGACATGGGGCCCTGACGTGGACCGCCGAACCGCCGAACCGCCGCAGGGCCGCCGGGGCCGCCGCGGCGCCGGGTTCTGGACCGCTCTCAAGAACTTTGGATTGGTAGACTGGCAGAGCATTAGCAGTACCTCCGCTCTTATAGCATCGTGCTGAGGGCTACCGCCAAGGGCGCAGACGCCTCAAACGGGTCCACAGTTCTTAAACCATGCCAGGACGGGTCGAAAAGAGGCACAACGTTGGCAGCACCGTGGCAAGACCACCGCCCACTTTCCCAAGGGTTGGGAAGTTTGATGCGCTGAGTACCAATTCGCTAAGCGTGGATTTTGATAAGCGAACTAGCTAGTGTGTTGAATCATCGGCAGAATTAAAGAAGGCTTTACGCTGCACATACAATAGACATAGACCGTGCTGTGTGCATCTCATGTCCTTAGGTGCGTTTGGGGGTACATATGTTTTATGCCCATTTCCAGCTCATCTCATGGCCAAAGAGCTGCCGAAGAAAATCCATGCTGCAAATGAAGCAATCGCACAATGGGTGTCCTCATTGAACATGGCTGCCGGTTTGTACACAATGCCGGGCATTT